CTGACTAGCTTCAAAGCGCGTTCACTAAAATACTGTATTGTATTTTATACTGTTGTAACCTGCCCTGAGCCCGTTAAGGGGAGGGCGGGATATAAACCCAAATAAATAAATAATACAATCACTTTTATGAAGATTCAAAAAATGTTAAATTAGGGGATCATATGATTTATTAAATTAAGGGGACATGTGTGTACATTGGGCACATATGTTAATTTCATTGTAAAATTGTATAGGCTTTCTCCCTCTGAATATTCTCTCTGTGTCTTGCTTTCCGTAAAGTTAACTCAGAGCTCATTGCAGTACGGAAGAGTAGGATGCAGAGTTGACTCAAAGAAGGTAACTACTGAAAACAAGATTTAATTTATTTTACAGTTGTACAAGTAACAAAGCAATTCAACTCCTGTACACAACATAACAATAAACAGCATCAGACAAGATGATCCTGACAGAATACATCTCAACAGTGCACACAAATGGGACCCAGGTATCCTCAATAGCAGTAGTACTTTCAGGAAGGCTGGCTTGTATAAACTCGCTCCTTCACTAAATCAATTGTGCTTTTGCCTGTCCAGGATAACAGTGATCTTTTTTCAAGGAAGAAGGGGAAAATATGAAGAATGTGAAGTTGCAGGGTGTTATTCCACAATTATTCAATATGTATGCATCCCCTTTATACACAAATGAGCTTTTTTGGCACTTTTCTAGGTCAATAGTCTCAAGACCTTCTACTAAACTCATCTCGCTTATGAAAGCCTATTTAGGAGTTCAGCAAGAAAGATGCTGAAAGGGATACCGAATGAAACACCTTGGTGGCTGTATGCTATTGCATTTCCACTTGGATGCTACTCACTGAATTATAGCCTAATCCTTGAAGATCTTAAAAGGCTACATAAAATGTATGCCCAGTGAAATCAACAAATATTATGATGTAACTAGTATCTGAAGTCACCACAAAGCAAACTAATTGGAAGGAATCCTTGTTTTTGCCATGGATGGTGCACAACAAGATATTAACTTTATATATTTCTATTGATCTGCATATTGAAAACCCATTGTTTTCATCAAGTGCAGTTGATGATTTGTGTCTGTGTGTATGAGAGAGAGAGGTGTGTTGTTTTATAAGACAGCTAGCTAGCTGAACTGGCTAACCATCTCTTGAAATGTTGAACAGACTTCACATTTGAGAAAGAAAATCAGAAAAGGAGAATTCCTCCAAAGCAACAAAGCAAATATATTATCTATATATCTTCATTAATCTCAGGAACTCCAGAGCTCCTAATAAAATAAAATCCACATGAATTATAAAACATTGGTTTATGGATTACAAACATTCACAAGAAACTTATCTGAATGAAAACAAATTCCCTATCTTACTTTGCATTTGTAAACAGACTATTCCTATAGTTTTGCTGTGAGAAAATAGATTTTGTCCCATGTCAGTGATAGTGCTGGCCAATAATGATTGAAAAGCTATGGAAATAGTTGTTCATGGTAGCAGTGGGGCACAAAAAGAGGTTATGGAAAAGAATGAAAATTGTACACATCATGTCTACTACCTCAGAACAAATGTTACTACAATTTGATGAGCATGCAAGTCCCATTCATATTACTCAATGGATTCTGTGGAGTACCTTTCTTCCTAGGAACCTTGGAGCCAATTCACAGCAAGGAATGAGAATTTCAAATGACTGCAAAAAGAAATTATTTATATTCTGCCTAGTGGCTAATAGAAGCCCTCAAAGAAACTAAAGAAAACTTTTTAGAATGGCACCTATATTTTCACTGTTTACAGTGAAAAAAAAAGATAAGAGGTTCAGACATACACAGAAAAGATTAGACATGACATAAATTATGCTGTATGAAATAAGTGTCACCAGATTTCGTACCAGTGAAATGCAGAAGTGCTGCCCTATAGGCCAAACTTCTGCATTTGTACCTCATCTACCTGAAAATATGCAAAAGCACCAGGTCTCTGACAAATAAGGTGGCATGGCATGTCTTGGACTCTACTTAATAGGTGTGGGGGGGATTGTAGATGGCAGTGACCAACTGACCATAATATAGCTGATGAGATACTTTGATTTATGGACAGTGTCATAGGAGATGCAAGCCTTGAAAAATGAAGGACAACAAATGAACCCACTCCTGTCTCTATCATTTAAATCTGATTCAGTCATCCTGATTCTTCACATCACTATTTCATTTACAGCAGGATCCTATGCATGCTTATCAGAAGTAAACTGATTAGAATTCATTAGGGTACTTGTGCATAGGATTCTAGCTTTACACTATGAAACTTTCTTTTATGTAACACAAGGCAAGATGCTTTCCTACATTCTGAATCCCAACATTTGCTGCTGAATTTAAAGTGGAATACTGAAATTTCCCTGAGATGGAAAATGTAAAATCAATGTTAATTAGTATATTTTAGCCCTTGGTTGGTTGTGGACATGTGTAAATAGCTCAGAAAAACAGCATTAAGGTTATGCAAGATGATCAAAAGGCACTAGTCCAGGGTGGTTTTTTTCCAAAGAAAGTGGTCTGTGAAACTGTACTATCAAGGACTGCCAGTCTCATTACATTGCTCTTAATGAAAAATATATTAAAAGGAAAAATATCCCTGCATAGTGACATAGATATTAAGCAACTCACAAAGATGTCTTTTAAAATGTTTCCCTAAAATGTATAAAATACTTACAGCCAATTCTAAGTGTTTTATTGATACATCTATTTCCTTATTGCACTGACATTGTTATCTTCATGTATGAACTACAAATACAAATTGAACTTGACCTCTGCGAGAAAGGTGATTGTACATAGTGAGGAGAGTGTATAAGAGATATTGTCAAAAGCATTATTGAAAACTATGCTAGATCTGAAAGACTGCAACCACACACGGAAACAGCATCAGGCTAGGACTGCGGACACCTGTGTTTAAATCCACAGTCATCTAGGAAGGTCACTGGATAACTATGGGACAGTAACTCTCTCCACTCTCAGCCTAACCAACCTCACAGGACAAAATGGAGGAGGGGAAAACCATGTATGCCATCCTCAGGAATGGAGGAAGAGACAGAAATGAATGGTGAGGAAAAGGTGGGTTCTGGATTAGGTAGTTTTGGGTCAGGACACTGATAGGAATGATCTTAGAATGAAGCCAGTTCAATATAATTGAAGCCCCAGTACTGCTATTGTATGGCTAACATCAGAAATTCATCCTATGAGTTTTGTTCATAAGTGAAATGATTGTGTTTGAGAAACTGGCGCTACCATTTCACCCTATCTTATTTACTTACTTACTTCATTTATATGAAATTTAGGCTGCATGGGAGATGAAGTAGCTTCCCTATAAAGCTCCAAGCTGCCCTCTCCCCATTGGCTCCTTTGAAAACGAGGCCAGTGCAAAATGCTCCACAGCATTACTGCTGTGAATTTCCCTTATTTCACATGGGGAACCTTGTACTCTATTCCAAGTTCTTTTCTCTTTATTTTCCTCAGTGGTTTTCTCTATTCTTACTTAGATGGACGAAACATCTGATAATGATGAAGTTATACTTTCCCCCTACTATCCTCAAATAATTCCTGAAGACCTGTAAGTCTGCAGACAGTGGATGCAAACCTGAGCCCATATTGACAATGATCCTTGCTTAAACTGCCACCATTAATAACTCTCATTATTAATCCATTCAGAACAAAACACACTAATAGAACTTCCCCCAAAAAATTAGAGACAGGATGAAAAGGCAAAGGGAAGTGCTCACCTACTGCATATCAGAATATTATTTTCCAGAAAAAAATGGGCATAATTGTCCAGCACTATGAAAAAATCATATTTCAGATTAAAGGATTTTGTAAATTAGTAAAATTTTGAGTATCATTCAATATGTCAACTATATTGGTTATTTCTAGTTTCCATTTCTGAGTAATTGCCTACTCCTGATTAACAAACGTTGTATCACAATTAAAGAACGAAGAGCATCTGTTTTTATTCAAGCATTCAAGCCATGTAGGAAAAAAAAGGCAAAGTCAAGTTAAAGAATTTGTCATTCAAACTAAACTTTGACACCAAGTTACAGTAAACAAAAATGACTGGAAACATTTTTCTCAGCAGTGCTGTGAGACAATACTAAATGTATATGTTTCTGTCATAAAAAGAAGAAAAATCTACATTGATTACAAAATCAGCATAATCTTTGGTACCAAAGGTAAGGGCACCTGCTTGTTAACTGTATCATCTTCATTTGCCATTAACAGAACAATCTTTCTTTAAAAATGGCTCAAACTACCACATTTTTTGAGAGCCTGTTTCTAACAGGATCAGCTACAAGCAACTATGAGTTTCTAAGACCTGGTCTATTAAGTTCCACCACTCAAAACAATGTCTGCAAAATGACTTATTCCCAACACTGCTACAAGGTACAGAGCTGAAAACCACACTGAATTTCTGCATCCCCTGGACATAACTTATGCCCTTGCTACACATTCTTTCCAGTGGATCAGGCGAATATGGAATGCCCCCAGGGTCCACAGAAGTAAAACCTGGTGATTGGCTTATATATTACAGCAGAGTCAAGTCATCATCTGAAGGCAGTTTCATCTGTACTGTATATACCAAGCCAATGTCAAACAATAAAATAGAATACAGATTTTAAAGTAATTGGGATTATTTTTTTAAAAGATCTTCTAAGACCACTTCTTGAGGATTACTTAAATTTTTCATATTATTATCATTTCAAAATCACTTAAGGGGTTCCAGTACCCATAGAAAATCAATGACAATTTTAAAAATAGGGAGAGAAAAAGAGAGAAAGAGAGAAAGAGGATATAATACAGAGTCAGGCAGTTCCCCAACTGAATGTAATTTTCTTGATCTTTCTGTTGTTATCCACTGCACCATCAATTTCGTTTTGATTTTTTTTGCCAAAAGATCATATTTCCTTAAGGTCAGCTCTCACCTCCTGGATGTTTCTTCTATTTTCTTGCTTGACTCTGAGGTGGCAGTTGGACAGCAAATCAGCTATTTGCTTCTTTAACAAGTGATGAATGCATTGTTGGATCTTGTAAACACTACTTATTTTATACATTCAAGCTTTGTTCTTAGTGAAAGTGGCACTTACTCGAACCATTGCACTCAAAATTTAGCACTTCAACAGGTAAAACATGAGCTGGGAATGGAGTTTTGATGCATTTCCTTGTTCTCCATCAGCTTAGCCCAGCACACTGGGGTACCTCCTCTGTATGGGCCCCACTGCTGTTCCACAAAATCTATATGGCAAAGCCCATATCCTATATGTCTCATTGTGCTTTATTGCTGTATGCATTTCCCTGTTGTCAATTTAAGTGCTCCTCTGTTATGCAACACATTTAAAGTTTTAAATTCTAACGGCATCCTGTGAGGACTAGCATTGGAAAAATATCGGTACTTTAGGTCATCATAATAATGATATTTGACTGATTTCCCATTAATATCCTTTGGGAAGGGCCAGAATCCATAGAGATGAATTTCATCACAGAACCTTGTAGCGAGTGTATACATCAGTAGTCCTGTGCTGGGTCGCTTGATGAAAACCTTGTTGGTCAGCCAGTAACTGCAAAACAAGGGAGAAAACAGAGGATAAGTGTGCTTTTTTGTTGTTGTTTAGCTTCTCTAAAAAGGGTAATAATTAGAAAAGTCTATGGCTCAGTGATGGGAGCATGTATGCAGTGCAAGCCCTGAAAACTCCAATTAAAGGTAAGCATTTTAGTTACTTTAGAAACAGCAACAACGACAACTTGGTTTTCAGGCATAAAAGGGATTTATAAAGGTAAAGGTAAAGGTTCCCTTGCTCGAAAGCCAGTCGAATCCGACTCTAGGGTTGCGGTGCTCATCTCAGTTTCAAAGCCGAAGAGCCAGCGCTGTCCGAAGACATTTCCGTGGTCATGTGGCCCGCATGACTAAACACCAATGCGCATGGAACGCTGTTACCTTCCCACTGAAGTGGTACCTAGTTATCTACTTGCAATTTCTTGCTTTCGAACTGCTAGGTTGGTAGGAGCTGGAACTAGAGACGGGCGCTCACTCCGTCATGCAGCACACTCGGATCTCGAACTGCTGAACTACCGACCTTCCACAGCCTGCAGTTCAGCGTCTTAACCACTTGGGCCATCGCAGTTCCTATAAAAGGGATGTATAGAACTACTCAAAACAGTTTAAACTAGTCTTACTGGGAAAGCCAAGTGCCTAAAACCTTGCAGAGCAACATCCAGTCAGAGCATACCATATTGGTCTAGCACCTAGGTTGACCTATTGTCCAACTCAACCTGAGTAATGTCCTTATATCTGTAGTTGTAGTTCTATGAACTGCTGCCCTGCTAGTTGATGCTAAAAATGCTTTTGCAGCTAACTGCAGTTGGCACTCAGCACCTTTACTTTACAATAAAACACAACTGGAAAATTGTACAGGGAAAATGTGCTTGAATCTATTGGGAACAGCCTCTGTTCAATGCTATTATTTGTGAGTTGGATTCATAATGTTTCTTTAGCAACCTGCTTTGCTGTTGCAACTCCCAATGCACAATGTCTTTGTTTTTCTTACTTTTTACCTCTCTGTGACATCATTTCAAATATAAGGTCCAAATGTTGCTGACCCATCCTGGGGCGCCGGGAGCAACATCGGATGACCGCCCGAACAACAAAAAAAGAACACACCACTTGGGTGCTGGTAGGTAGTCCCTCCCCTATACGAATTGTGGCCCTAGGTAGGATCAACTTGTATGTGTAAACCACCCAGAGACCCTTCGGGGTCAGGGGCGGTATATAAATCGAATATAATAAATAATAAATAAATAAAAGCAATAACATCAGTAATTCTTGCATACTGAACCTTTAAGTTGTCTTGAGTGCTATCTAGGAATTACAAAACTCAAGGCGCAATGTTCCCAACATGATGACATCACCCAGAAGTGATGTCATCATGTTGGGAGAGCTGCAAGGGACGCTCTGGTTTGACAGTAAATTTGCCTAAACTTGCCTAAAAACCATAGTTTTGCCCTCAACCTAGAGCATTGCTGGCATGACGTCATGATGATATCGCTTCCGGGTGATGTCATCACATTGGGGATACCCCAGAATGACAAGGGGACCTGGCAACCCTAGTAAATTATCTAGTATGTGAAAGCACCCAAGAACTTTAGGGTATGTATGCCATAATGTAAGTTGCTTGGAAGTATCTTGAAAGGGCTAGTGAATTACCTGTATCACTGCAAGCCTGGCAAAATGAGATTTTAATCTCAGGGATGCCATAACAGCTCCACCCATTTCCTCACTTGCCGATTCAAGGGCACACTAAATAACTCAGTTTCAATCCACTTTCAATCCACTTCGCAAATGGATTTTACTGTGTGAAATGGCAAAATCCACTTGCTAGCAGTTGCTGAAATGGATTGAATCTGCATCATTTAGCATGTCTGAAAGCACCCACTGCAGGATTATCTTCCTGTCCATGTGATATCTGGAGCCACTTCCTGTTCATGAGGGGAAGTTCAAGACTCAGAGCATTCTAGGAATAATTTCATAGTTTGCATCTCTGCTGTTTTCAGGTTTGATTTTACTTCTCCCTTGTTCAAACTGAATTTGTAATTCTTTATTTTCCATACTATTTTCTGTGACCAATTTTCCCTCATAAAAGGTACAGCGTTATGTAGATATGGACTGTATGTACAAACACATGACTAAAGATATACTGTATGTCAACAATGTATGACATGTGCATACAATATGAATGAAGAAATCTAATATTCCAAAGCAAATCAAAAAAACTATTGACAAAAATATGCACGGATATACAAAGCAACCAAACAGGGAACATCAGCAGTGCATTAGCAGGTCAGTTTAACTACCAGATGCAAAAACTGAGCACATGGACTTTGTACTCCAGCTGGAGTAAGCATGTGGAAACAGATACTTATGAGAAACCTAGGCTGAGGTCAGACTGGCAGTTTGAAGCGCAAGGGAGTCATGGAAAAAAGATCCAGCACAAACTGTTCCTGGTTTTCTGGGTCACACTGTGCTGACTGATGCAGGAGCATACCGGGGAGGAGGAGCAAGGGAGCGTTCGCACTGTTGGCCCACCCCTGGCAGAGGTGCGGCTGTAAGGTGCAGCTTTCTTTTTGATAATCCGGAGATATGTGCATATGTGCATAAACGCACAAGCAGTTGTGGCTTTCGGCATTCACACTTTGTTGGTACGGGATGACCAGGGTTTGCTACCACTTTCACCAGGTACTTTTTAAACTTGGGAGGCAAGCGCTACAAGATGGGCTGAGTATGGCTGGGGAACGCCTGACAGCTGTGCCTGTGTGAACAGCCCGTTTAATCCATTTGTGAAACATTTCTGGCACATGCCTATCTCGGGGCAAATTGCCAGTCTAAACTCAGCCCTAGGCTTTGTTAAAGAGGACTTTCTAGTTTATTAATGCCATACCATCAACCTTCTCTCAAGTTTCATCAGACTCTCCTGAATAGAGCAGCAATAATAATCTATTCTGCTAAATTTACCTTTGGTAGTCCTTAATCCCAGGTGAGCCAAATTTTTCAAAGCATGTATTGATGATTGAACTGCAGAAAAGCAAATGCTGAAGCAGAAGTGACAGATGGGGATGGGAAGAGGAGGATTGAAGAGGTGGATAAAGAAGTGAGTGTGAAACATTTGCTAATTTTAGAGTTGTTTTCTCCTGTGATTAGGGAAAAATAATCCTGACTATCAGCAAATCCTTCAGGAGATAATTAATGGCTGCTTTCCTACAGTATTTTGAAGAAACCTAAAGAAATATATTCTGCAAACAGACACTGAACCAAAACACTTGTCTTACTGAAGTTTGATTCCTTGGTGTGTGTTTTAATTCAAGCTTGCTGCTTTTTCACAAGTTTTAGTCAGAAACTCTTTTTATGTTTTATTTTCATTGGTTCTACAACATGAACCACTGGTAATTTCCCTTGACAGAAGACTGTGTAGCATGACATCCTTGCCTTCCCCTTTTTGCTGCAGTTTCAAATGCCCTCCAAAAGGCTGCTTCATGGGAGCAGCATATGAGGGGAGAGTCCACGGTCTCCCACAGGAGGATGGAAATTAGTGAAAACTGCCCTTCACTATTAGTGGAACTATTCTCTTGGATCCAGTCCCATATATGGATACTCTGTAATACATGTAAGAAACAATGTAGGTGTTTATCAGATCCATTTAAAACAGATTCACAGAGCCACAGAAAGAGAAATAATTAATAAAATGCTGCTGCATATTTAATATAATATTTATTCAAAAAGGAGAGTATACTGAAAGACAATCCCTGTAAAAAAGGGTATACTCCATTGTTCTTTTAAAATTACTGCACATGACTTGTATGCAGATTTACTACAGTTCCCCTAGTTTTTCTTGATGGTACATAGGAAGGAAATAGGGTAATAGGATATTTTCCAATGGATACTGAAATACTGTATATCCTGGAGAAAGAGATCACAAGCCTCTACACACATGCTCCTTGGATGGAAATCCAGTTGTTTCTCATGTATCTGTAGAGTTACTGCACTTCTGCTTAGCCTTCAGTGGTTCCTGTTTGAATACAGATTATGGGGTGCAAATAGCCCCACATGGTGACATTGTCCCAGGTTATGAACACCATACTGACCCCGTGACCAACCCTGAGAGATAACAGAAGGCAACATTTAACATCAGGAAACAAACCAGTCTGACAGAAAAGAAACTGAATTTCAAACTGTTTTTCATGTTCCTTTAGAAAACTGGCACCTCCAGTGAGGATATTCACGTTTACCTTTTAGCAGCTGACTAGCATGAAATGCCAACAATATGAAATGTCTCATCTTGACAAAATGAAGCTAAAGTTCAAGTCAGATAATTTGGTGTTTATTTTGGAGGGGAGAGATTCCTCCCTCCTTCTTGCACTTAAAAGAGTGGCATTGAAGGCATTATTAGCTGAGTTGAAGAGGTGACATGGTATCACCACAGGTACAAAAAGTTGACAGGAAAAAATTTATTGCCTGGGAGTCAAATTTAGCCTCTGCTCCTAATGGGCATCTTCTGGCTGAAGAATAATTCCCACAGGAAGATGAATTTGCCAGGCAAGTAGATATGCCTTGAGGCAGTGGCCTTGGCTAGGCTGGTGCCAGCACCAAGAGCAGACAATGAGGATCTGCTTCCCTACTTTTTTTTTGCTTGGACCCCTGCCTGGAGTGAACATCTGTTGATATTTTACTGTATATCTCCAGTGCTTAGTCCTGATAAAGGTTCATTGTGCTGGTGCACACTCAGTAGAGCTGACTCCAGACAAGAACGGATGTCAGTGGTCTTAATTTCAAACTGTTTTTCATGTTCCTTTAGAAAACTGGCACCTCTAGTGAGGATATTCACTTTTACCTTTTAGCAGCTGACTAGCATGAAATGCCAACAATATGAAATGTCTCATCTTGACAAAATGAAGCTAAAGTTCAAGTCAGATAATTTGGTGTTTATTTTGGAGGGGAGAGATTCCTCCCTCCTTCTTGCACTTAAAAGAGTGGCATTGAAGGCATTATTAGCTGAGTTGAAGAGGTGAC